ATCAAGGGTTCATCTGCCTCCGGCCTTTGCATTTGCTCTTTCTGCCATGTGGACCACTCTTCCCTTCATGCCCTTTGTTCTCACTGCTCAAGTGCCACCTCCTCAGAGAGGCCCACCTACCATTCTACCTCCTCACCAGCTTCTCTCAAACCCTCTACTGAGCTTTATTTGTTTTCACAGCACCCAGTACATTATATATTTACTTGCTTATTGTGTCTCCTCCCCGAGATGGAAGGTTCCTGAAGACTTTGTTTTGTTCACTGCGATATTTCCAGTGCCTGGCATGGAGTCAGTGCTCACTAAATAACTGTTGGATGAACCCATGTATGCTGTGAACACAGTAGACACTTAGGCCATGTCGTGGCCTGAATGAATGAGTAGTTGACGTTCAACCTTTACAGGATTATGCTACCCATGTCCTCCTTCTGTCTGAGCTACAAAGGGAAAGAAATGACTACTTCTACCAAAGAGGAATAAAGCAGGAGAAGAGGCCCCAAAAGAACAGAAATAAAAAATCTTGCCTCAGATTTCTGTTGAGGCTTGCCTTTGCCAAAGCCATGAAAAATCTGGACATTAAAGAACACAAATTAATCCTGCAAAATGTACTGGATATTTAAGGTAGTTAATTCAAGCAAAAAAGAATAACCCAATAATAATAAAGAAGTTTTCCTTATATAGGTAGATTATTTAGACAGTGTATGACGTATGTAAGTAGCAGTCATATTGTCTGCATTATCTTTTTGAGAACAGCAGAAAGACATGTTGTACCCAAGCTGTCACCATAACAGAGCAATTCATGGCTATAGGCCCCACCTTGAGTAGCCTCTGGTACATGTGAACTGCTGGGCAGTGACCCAGAAGTAGCAGTGTGTGCGGCAGTTATAAAAGACCTTTGCTCACATACCCCAGCTAACTTCCAGCAACTGCCCCAGGACCAAGTCAGGTCTGCTCCACACAGCAGGTCTCTCCATGGCTCCTTGTAGCTGGGTTGGTGTATGGAGGAACAGTCTATGTCACATACATAGACCATATCCTTTAAGGGGTGACCTTGCTTTCTGCTCTGGTGTAAGAGTAAGTTTTAATATAATTCTAAATAATTGAGTTCTTATCTGTGCATTCATCCAAAGACTAAAAAGTCTTTAAAGTGAGGACTTTATAGAAACCAGAGAGAGCACTCTAGGCCCGGAGCAATCATCAGTCAGTCACAATCCAGCATGTGCTACCACAGCTCTCGAGGGCTTTTCTCCCCAGCACCGGCTGCTGAGGACAGTGCCCCAGCCAGCGCACAGATCCTTTTTATTTTAAGGATCTTATTTCTAATCACCATGTAGAAATAGGGTTAAGAAAACTAATATACAGAAGTCACAAAGGATGCAGGGCCTTGAAAAGCTATTACACTTGTGGCTCTGGAATAATTCCCGACTCCTTCCTGAGGAGGAATCTAACTGGAAACCCAGTTCGATTTCTGTTTTCTGTTTTTATTTCAGAAAGCAGAGTTCACTGAATCTTGCTTCTTTCTGTCTCAGGCTTTCTGGAGACCCACACAGATCCTTTCTTCCCTTCTCTTAGGACAACAGATTTCACTGGAATTCCAAGTGATTGTTCTTTAAAATACAACGAAACAAAAATTCTTCTGTCTTTCTCAGACACTTGGCAACATAGTAGAAGTTCAGCAGACCCTATTTATTGTTGGATAAGTTGAAAATGACCTAAGTGGACTTCAGTTTGGGGTTCTCCTCAGTACGGACTGGATGATTTGTTGCTTTGTGTTCTGAGGCTGCCCTGAGTAGCCATCCCACGGCTTGGCAGAAAACATTCTTTAGCAGCCTCGAAGCAACTGGCAGGGTGATGGCCACAGCCTGCTTTCGGAAGCAGGAGGCAAGGGCATTAGCTGCATTGTATCTGGATGTTGGCATGAATGTGGTCTTGCCCTGTGAGCCTTCAGAACAAAACTTGAGGTTGAATCCCTTTTGTTAGGGTAGATAAGGGAGTGTATTGAGCTCCATGGAAAACAGACAGGAGGACTCTGACAGATGGGGAAGGGGTCACCCCCACAGCAGGGGGTCAGCCTGGAAGTGGGTGCTATGGCAACATGCTAAGAATTATACTGTGAATTAAAGGATGGTTGGATTCACTGGGTCTGCCCAGGCAGGAAACCTGGCTGGGTCTTTGTCAGCCAACAGATGAGAGGCTGGTTTGCAGTTGTGTGATTTGACAGTTTGGATGTGTTCAGACAGCTCTGTGCCATGGAGATGACATTACTCCTGAGCCTCGCTGCATATATTTACGTAAACCAGTGGCATCCCAAGGACGGAGGCTATGGGAGTGATCCATCCCAGGTGCCGGCAGTAGGCAGAGAACTTTTTTTTTGTCTGTAGAGAAGTTTGAAACAATGATAAAATTGACTAAAGATCAGTTTGCTTTTTATTATTATCATACTCCAACAGTTCCAAACAATGTCAGTAGTAAATTACTCCTCCCTCACAGGGGCAGACTTCTATCCTGCCCTACCCCATGCCTCTTTGGTACACCTCTGGCATAAACAAGCACGAGGTGGGAAGATTACAAATCAGCAAGAGAGTAAACAGAAAGCAAATGACTCCTGAGATAAGATACATTTTTTTTTTTTTATCACAAAAACTCTACTTTGTGGAGTTTAGAGATGGTTGATCTGTGATGGGCATTTCTGTTAGCTTTGTGTTTTGGGTATCTATTGCTGCTTTAAAAACTACTCCAACATTTAGTCCCTTAAAACAACAATCGTTTATTTGTCTGCAGTTCTGCGATTTTGGCAGGGCTCAGTGGAGATGGCTTATCTCTGTTTCATACGGTGTCTGCTGGGGCTGGAACTTCCTAGAGGGCGTTTTCACTCCTATGTCTGGTACCTCAGCTGGGATGAGGTGAAGAGCTACAGGCTGGCCAGGCCTCTCTCTCTTTCTGTGTGGCCTCTCCCCATGGCTAGCTTGGGCTTCCTCACAGCATGGTGGTCTCTCCTTAAGTGGTGACTGGCTTTTCCCAGAGTGCAAAGCAGAAGCTATCAGGTATGCTTAATGTTCAGGTTTTCGGAAGTCATAGAACATCCTTTCTGCCACATTCTCTTGGTCAAAGCAGTCACAGGGCCAGCCCAGACATAAAGGGAAGAAAAACAGACTCCACTTCTTGATGAAGAAGATATCGTTGCGGCCATCTTTCAAAACATCATCTACCTCATATTGCTTGCTTTATCATAACAAGGTTGTGTGCTTTCACATGTTGCCTTTAACTATGATAAACCTTATCAATCTGAAAAAAAGGTAGCTCTTTTTGACTTTTAAAAAATTAGACCCTTATAATTGTCATCATACCTTGGTTCTGAAAGGTCTCTTCGTGGATTCCTGAGAAACAAGAGATCATGGGGCTCCTACCATAGCATTTGAGAGAAAATATCAGAATGACACTGATTTGCCAAGACCTAAAATCCAAAGTGTGGCATTTCCACCGCTGGCAGTATGCAGGCCGCCCAGAAGATTCAATCTTTTCTGCCCTGCCCCATGCCTCAGGACCCCTCTATCCAGCCTCCCTCCCCCGCCGCCCCTCCTCCTTCTCCCAGGGGTTGAGCCCCGGGGGGCTCCGGCGGGTGCGGGGGAAGGCGGGCGGGGCCGGGGGTGGGGTCGGCGGGGGACCGCCCCCCGGCCGGCGACCG